TTTTTACTAGTATTTACTTTATAGTAACAAATCAAAATTTGTATATGATGCATGTTTTAAAGATGACGATCAGTTAATTCGCAATTAGTATGTACGGGTGTTGTATTTATACGATAAATACTTACTTTAAAAATTTTAAATTCCGCTGCGTACAGCCCGTACGGTACTATCGAACCCAACAGATATATATCCCGGAATTAAAAAACAAAATGAAAAGCTCAAAGCTACAATACAGTTTCTGAAAGAAACAAAGTTTGGACGCTAACCGAAGCGAGAATCGGACAAATATTAGGAGCACTTTCCTTATATTTCCGCAGAAAAGAAACTAAGATCTCAGAAAATGAGTTTGAAAAACTCTAAAAGGAAGGTACCCCTATAAACTGGTATCAGAGCCTGGTAGCAGGCAAGAAATACTAAACCAAAATGCCAGGAATAGACTGGTTAAATGCCTTCTTAGCCAGAAGAAAAACTATAGAAAAAATAATTGACGAAATGGAAAATAGGATAACTCTTTCTGGAAGAGAAAATATTGAATAACAGTGGTATAAAGAAAAAACTAAAAATTTAAATATAGGAATACAAATTCTGGAAAATAATGCTAGAACTAACTCTAGAGTAGAAGAAGAATTCTTTACATAATGTTTAGATCCTTGGAGGTACAGAGAGAATAATTAAATGGAAAATAATCAATTAGATTATTTCTCAAAACAAGAAACGTCAGGATATTTCGTAGAAGCCCTGATAGATGCTAAAAAACTTGGAAAAGTTGAACACGATTTAAATAAAGAACACAATTTCTCAAAAGAAAAAGTGTTTAAAAGGATTAATAACTTAATCCTAAGAAAAAATGAAATATTCTTTGGTATTATTGCTGGAGAAGAAGCAATTGATACAGACCAAACACAAGGAAATGTAATCATACCTGTAATTTGTAAAAAACAAATTTATAAAAATTTAAAACAGATAAAATCTGAAGTTAGAAATAAAATAGCATATATACATGTATCAACAATACAAATGATATTAAAAAGCACGTTTAGCTTAGGGATAGATACACCTATGCTAATCAGACTAGAAGATAATAGGATGATAAACAAGTCTGATGCACTTGTTGCAGAAGGACAAGGAAACTTAAAATATGGAAAAATCAAGTTTAATCTTAATTATCAAGTAGGAATGTCATTATTAGACAATAATCTTGATGAATCCATCACTCTGTGTTGGAAAATGTTGAGAAATAAGTTAATGAAAAAGGGAAACCACCCTTTCTCAGTAACCTGGAGAATAAATTATGCATTAACCAATAGTCATCATAGTTTGTCATTCAAACCTCATGATAAAATTGAAATTGACGAGTTATTCTCACCCATATTACATTTGGAAGCTCCTAAAAGAAATTTTCAAATACAAAGAATTGAGTCTATGACTAGACCCAGTATAGACTATATTACTCCCAAAAAGAATAATGAAGAAGAAGAAGAAACTAGTTCTTCAAGAAATAATACTGCTGAAGTAATCATAAAACCCAACAACAAAATATATAAAATTGAACAAAAAGTTCAAGAAATAAGTAAAGAATTAGGACTTAATAATGAGTTCTAAATAGTATACTAATTAATGTTTAAAAGTTTTTACCCAAAGTCTGAAAAAAGTTAGAACAACAAAAATAAAAAATGAGCACAAGAAAAATCTATTTTGACATAGAATGAGAAATTCAAAATATTAAAATGGAAATAACAAGGTATATTTATTTACATGAAATTACAAATTTAGAATTTTATTATGACATGATGAAGATATGCGAAAAACAATTAAACAGATTAATAATTTTACAAGTAACAGTTGCATAAGAAATAAAAAGGAGTAAAGGGTATTATAGGAATAATTGAAGTCTTACAAGTGGGAGGGAGTAAAGTGGAAGAAAATTAGACATAGGGACTGAAATGGAAGTTAAAAAAGGGTCTAGGGATTTTTAAAGAAGTGTCCCATATATAAATCAGTGGGTGTTTTTAGCAGGAATTGATAGAATGGATATTAGGCGTTGGATCGTGAGATTTATGGGCACCATAGAATTTCTGGTGTTTTTAGCCTTTTTTCAATTACAAAAATGAAATATGACCATGTTGTAAAAAATGATGAAATATTACCTTTTTTAGTATGGAAAATAACAAATTTATCCTTCCTATACCAAATCCTAGCCCTCACCTTATCCAATTTTCACTTTTCCACCTGCTCCTCTCAATTCCGATCGACTTCCGCCGCTGGTGGCACCTCCAATCCTCCTCTTCTCTTCAACATACTCCTCTACTCAATGGATTTTCTGTGCGAATCGACCTTCGCTGCTGCTCTTCGGCTCTTCTGTGCGAATCGACCGCCTTCGCCAGCAACTCCACTGTTCCTCTTATACTCTCGGGCTCTCTGTCCGAGATTTTAATCAACGTCAGTTACCGGCACCCCCGCTCGACCAGCTCAAGTACTTCTCGGGCTCTCAAAGGTAAATTCTCGTTTCATCTCGGAAATTAGGGCTTTTCGAGTTGCTTAAGAGTAATCGCGATGGAGGTTTTTGGGGCCAATTGTTGTACGGGAATTTAAGGCGTCTTATCTCCCCTGCTTTTCGTGTTTGGTTTCTTGTAGTCTTGGTGTTTGTTCTCTGTGAAATCCTTGGATCCTGAAGAAGTTGCGAAAATTTGTAACCATCTTCGATTAGACCTGGACGAGGAGCCGATTAATGTTTCGACAGATGCTCTCCAAAATGGTTCTGTAAAAGTAGGCACCAGCCTTGTGGGGAAAGTGATCGGAAGCAAAATCGCTAACAAGGAAGGGTTGATGTCTGTTCTTCCACTTATATGGAAAACAAAATTCTCCTTTCAAGTCCAAGCAAAAGGGGCCAATAATGTGTTCTTGTTCCACGTTGAGTCGGCGGAAGATCGGGATATGGTGTTTTATGGGGGTCCATGGCTTTTCAATAAGCAGTTAATTTCTTTAGTTCTACCTGTTGGAGCTGGCTCTATCTCATCAATGGATTTCCATAGAATAGCATTTTGGTTTCATCTATTGAATTTGCTGTTAATATGTCAGTCAGAAGAATGTGTGGGAATGGTGGGCACGTGAAGTTGTGGCAATCGATATTGGAGGGATTATCCTGAGAATCCGAGTGAAAATCGACATCTCCAAACCGTTAAAAAGGGGCCCGCGAGAAGCGTTGAAGGAAGAATTCACAATTCCGGTTCAGTTCAAAAAGCTTCCAGACTTTTGCTTCTATTGCGGAATGATCGGTCACCGGATGTGCGAGTGTCCACAAAATGCTAATAAAGTAATCATAGGGGCTGAGTGTCGTTATGGAGAATGGCTTCGAGGGATCACACCATTCAATCTGGACGACTTGGTACCAAAATTCGTTTGTGTGGTAAATGTAAGCAACCCGGCCACCGTAGTATGTTGCATTTTAGGTGGAGTGATGTAGTGAGGACTTTTATGTAAGAACCTCGTATTTTTTTTTGCTACTGATTTGGTGATTTCTTTTGATTTGCGTTGGTGATGTCTTAAAATAATGGTATTGCTGGTTGGTTTGCTGAAACTAAAACTTGTGGGACAAATTGTTGTGTGTGTATTTTTGTTATGTTGTTAATGTAATCATCGTTTTATAGTTTATTTTTTTTTTATTTTTTGTAATGCTCTAGGTGTAGCCGTGCACGAACTTCGTAGCGCCGTAAAAGAAGCCCTCGAAAACCGCGCTATTGTACTACCGCTGTATTTCTAGTTATTTTTTTTTATTTAAAAAGAACATTCCGGGACTCGCGGAGAAGTACAGCAAATCACAGGCATTCTAAGCGGTTTAGGATCACGACTCGCATGAGATTTCGCGACTCGCGACATTGTCCACGACTCGCGGAGAAGTAGACTTTCACAGGCATTCTAGGTGGTCCAGGGTCGCGACTTGCGGGCCATTTCGCGACTCACGACCACGCCCGCGATTCGCAGAGAATCTCGCGACTCGCGGTGAAGTATAGAGTCCCAAACACTTCCAGGCCCGCGATTCGCGGGAAAATGTCGCGACTCGCGACATTTGGTGATTCTGAAAGTTTTCATTTTACATCTTAAAAAAAAATTGACACAACGATTTCTGAAACAAAATGAGCAAAAGACAATATTTTCACTAAAATCAAAAGACAATTTTTCCAAAACCAACCATTATGAACATACTCACGCTCAAATTCAACCCACAAATTCAACCTACAAACAAATTAAAACTCAATCCTCCACGTTTTCAAACCACAAAACGCAACAATCATCAAGTGAACAAACCACACTACACAATCCACAAGCTTCCCGTGTGCATAAATAGCTAAAGCCATTTTCTTTCTGTAATTTTACCACCTGCAGTTGACTCAAAGAACTCTTCCAAATTTTTGCATTGTTCGGCATTTAAGATAATGTATCAGTTTTCGAGTAACCAAAACATTTTGGCTAGACAGATACCAACAAAATTAGGTGAAACATTAGTCTCATAAATTTTATCACTTACCCTGGGTAAAACTGCCAGTTTATCAGTTGGCATGTCAATTACCAAGAAAGTTATTAAAATATGATCAAATAATCACGGAGATTAAATATTCTTACACTTCAGGATTCAAAAAATCAAAGTATTCAAATGTACTAGGAAAAAAAAGAGAGGACAATGCTTATTTACCATTTTCATATTCTAAGGCTTGAAGTATCATCTCCACCTGAATAAAGAAACAATTAAAATGATTTGAGAAAACGTGAAAATTAGTAGATAATCGAAGCACTTGTCAAATAAGAAAATGTAAATATGTAAAAAAAAAAACTCGAAATGTAAATCATATACGCAATGACTACCAAATGGAAGGTTCAGCTTCTAACTCCTGGTATATTACTATGTTAAGCTCAAACAACACAACTATGTTAAGCTCAAACTACTGATACTGACTTGTTTGAACACACATATAATCAGTATCCTAAGTATGCGTGCATGCCCAGCAGGACATGGCAATAAATAAGGAATAAGAGCAATACAAATATGCTTCAAATTTTCTCTTTTCTCTACTCATGCTCCACTAAAATTTAAGGCCTTACAACTGAATCCAAAAGCTATAAAATCTACTCCAATCAGCATGTAAAAATTTAGCCATACATCGCATAAGGAGGCTCAGCGAGTAAGGTACAAAATATGGCACAAAATAACACACAAAACAACTCCAACTTCTTCAAATTTTCAACTAAGGTTAAGCATGCTCTTTGTCTCTTTTAAACTGAATTTAAACTCTTATTTCGGCCATTAAAAAGAAAAGTAATATAAGCTCAGCCATATACCTCATTTTGGTGCTAAAAAAAAATGGAAGGATAAGAGACTCAGATTGGGCTAAGGTCTCGGTTTGGCCGCGGGTGCGAAAATGGCTCGGTCCTTGGCTGAAAATGGCGTGTTCGGCTTGCTGGGCCGTGAAGGTGGCTCACAACCCCTGTTCTCAAAGGGTTTCTCGTCCTCCTCTGCCTCAGGTCGCCGGCTCGCGAGAAATCTATCCGCGTGAGGGTTGCTCGTACCTTCGTCGGAGGCTGCTACGGCTCTCGGTTTAACCATACATATTTCAATTGAAAAAAAAAAGCAATTTAATTGTACTCAAAATACACATTTTAACTAAAAAAACCATAAACAAGCTTGAAGAGAAAAAGGTAGGCACATCTTGGTTTGATGAAAAAAAAAAACCTAAAAATTCGCCTAAAAAACAAAACAAAACAAAATGAAATAAAAACCGCACCTTGAAAAGCCAGAGAAGAGAGCTGCGGCTCTATGGAGGAGAAGAACAATCGTTGAAAGTGAGCGAGAATCTCCGGGAAGCCGGTGAATCGTCGTAATTTTGGCGTGAGTCACCGGGGGCCGAGCAGCGAAGCCGAGCAGAGCACCCGTCTCGTCGGAATCGCCGGGAAAGAGACATTAGAAACCGCCGAGCAGAGCACTCGAAATCGCCGGATCTTTGTGCCAATGTTTTTCAAATTTTCGAGCTCTGCAAATATCTATCGTCGTGAATGAAAAATGAGGAAGAAAAAAGTTTTTCAATTTCACCAAACTAGTACGTAACCCGTGCGATGCACGAGATGTAAAATTTGGAAGAATGATATAACTTCACGTGCATTAGGATCGAAATTGAAATCATTAAAATATATAGGAATATTGTTGAATCATAAAAAGTTCGTAACAATCATATATTATTAAAAACATCCTTGTACACAACATTATGAGTTTGATTATTTGGTAACTCCTCATTATCACAAACTAATATTTTCAAAAGAGACAAATCCTAAAAATCAAACTAATATTTTTTGTGAACAAATTAATATTTTAGAATTGGTGAACAAACTAATATTTTAGGATTTCTAGGATTTGTCTCTTTTTTGTGAACAAACTAATATTTTATGATTGGTTATATGAATAAGGCTACCTGTTTTTGGTCAAACAATCCGATGACTTGTATAATGAAATCCGAATCTTAAGCCGAAATATTTAAAAAAAAAAAGAGTTTTTAAAAATTGAAAAGTCAAGACAATCAGTTGAGATTAATTAAAGGTCAAAGAATATCCGCTCCTTGAAATAAAGACGTGTGCTATCATTAACCAAATATCCGGTTATTGATATAGAATGGTTACCAAAAAATAGAACGTCATAAGGACGCTTCATGAAAATATCAATGGGATAAGGTCATAACAAATCGCTATACATTTTAACGATAAAAGCTCAGATGGAATGATTTATGATAATTATGTCGTAATTAATGAATTAATTAAGTGTGAAAAGGACATAATTAATGATAAGTGTGAAAATGACATAATTAATGAGAAGTGTGAAAAAGACATAATTAATAAGAAGTGTAAAAATGACAAAAACTTACCAGTTTTAGAAAATATTTATTGCAAATCCAACATTAACCATAATTTGATCTACTATTTTGAATAAATGTTAATTCTTATAATATAAGTGTAGATTGGGGAAAGGGGCGGCGCTGGTGAATGAAAAGGTGAAAAAATGAAAAAATTGTGTTAAAAGGGCAATTATGTACTTTTGCCTATCAAAATGGCTAGATTTTATTTTTCTTAGAAAAATGGTCCTATTTCATTTTTTCTTTCACTTAAGTGCTATAAAGGGTCATTACAACTAGACAAAATCATCAAACCCCAATTATTTTTATTTTTATTTCTTTCACGAATAGTTGTATCGATACACTGTCTAGCCAATCTCTGTGGATACGACCCGCTTACCACTACTACAGTTACTTTAAAAGTAGGAATTTATTATTGTTGGATTCGACACCTATCAGCACGAGTACTACATTATCATTATAGTATGATTTTATTAATCAATACAGATCGAATAAAAATAATTGCAGTAGTTCATTTGATAGTTTTCGAAGCTTTTCGTAAAAATTGAAAGTGAATACTATGTTATATGTTGTCCAAGAAGTTCAGGCTAATTTGGAAAAGGGAATAAATATTATAAAAGAAATTCTTAATTACCAAAGGGAAAATCAAGATTACTCATCAAGGCCTTGTTGCAGTCTTGCAGATGACAATGGAGACCGATGAGGCCACTGAAAGGAACAACACACCAATCACACCTAATTGAAACCCCGACATTTCACCCATCTTACTCTGCAAATCACAAAAATTCATCGAAAACTGTTATTAGCCATATAATATACACGTGTTTGAGTGCAAGTCACGAAAATTCATTGAAAAATGCTATTAGCCATATAATATACACGTGTTTCTTTGACAGAGCCTGCAGAGTTTCTTTCTCTGGTCAATCATCTGGTGGATATGAAAGGGGAAAGTCCACTTTTGGTCCTCCATGTTTAGGGATATCCAGATTGAGTCCCTATTATGTTTTACTGCCCAATTTTAGTCCTTAAAACAAAAAAATGTAGTCCCTATAATAGGGAAAAATCCACTTTTAGTCCTCCATGTTTAGGGGTATCCAGACTTAATCTCTATTATGTTTTGATGCCCAATTTTAGTCCTTAAAACAAAAAAATGTAGTCCCTTTACCTCAATTTATGTGAATTAACGGTCCATTTTTGCTCGACCGTTATGTTCTTCATTTTTTTAAAATTAGTTGACTAATGTCAACTTTGACCAAAGAAAAATAAAAGAAAATTTAAATGCTGAAAAAAGGTAAAATAAAAGGCAGAAATGGTGAACTGCAGTGAAACGTAGAAAAAAAAAACCTGACCGCCTAGAGACTAAATCCGATCAAATGGATGGAAATGGTGTGGTATTTTGTAGATGTGAGCTGGTTGCAAAGTTGACTACATGTTGGAAGGATGATAATCCCGAGAGAAGATTCTTGAGTTGCCCTCTATATCCTGTAAGTACTTTCTGTGAACTTCAATTGAAATATGATAAGAAATGGTTAAAAAACAGAGGGTTGATAGGTGCAATTTTTTTCGATGGCATGACCCGGAAATGGGTGCAAGAACAGTAGCTGTGATTCCAGTTTTGCTCCGCAGCGCGAATGCTAGGGAAATAGAAATCAGACGAGCAAAAATTTTAATTTAATTTGGTGCAATTTCTTGTTTTAGTTTAATTTTTGATTAATATATTTTCAGCATTTAAATTTTCTTTTATTTTTCTTTGGTCAAAGTTGACATTAATCAACAAATTTTAAAAAAATAAAGAACATCACAGTCGAGCAAAAATGGACCGTTAATTCACAGAAATTGAGGTAAATGGACTACATTTTTTTGTTTT